ACCATTTTTCAGATTTCCTTCCCATGCCTGATAACAAGAACCAAGTACTTATTTACTTTAAAAACAAAACAAAACAGACTGATCTATTTGAAATAGAAGGTTCTCTTTCTCTAGTTCCTCCAAATGGTGGCAACTCACCACTCACTGTCAGGATTTCTACAATGTGTGATAACTAATTCCTATTCATTCCCTCTGTTTATGGATTTGTGGTTTGCATGCAGCTTACTGTCCTCTGGGAGAGACGCTTATAAAATAGGGCATGTGAAAAAGGGGTCCTACAGAGTTCAAAAGTAAGATAATTCAGTAGGAATTTCATCAGTGAGAGTAGATAAGTAAAGGCACTTGATATTCTGATACCATTTGTGAGTAAGAAATTAAATTCAGTGCTTGGTGGTTTGGATTCTCTCTATAATCCATACCTACTGCTGCCGTAAAAGGAAAAAGTCGTAAGGACAAAAGTTGTTTCATCTTCAGGGTAAAGGTAATGTACAATGGGTTAAAATTTCAGGAGTCTAAATTGAGTTCTGATTCGATGAAAAATATTTTGGTGATTTTATTTAGGAGATTTTTTTCTTTAAATTAGGCTTTACATTTTAAAATTAGTTCTCAATAAACAATCAGGTATATAGAGTGTGTGCTTATTGCCTTCTTTAACTATCAGAGTCCAGTTCTTTGGATTTTCACCACAATTTTGGTTATGCTTGTGTTCATTTATTCATTCCTCAGAGAGCTCATGTGGCAGAACAGGAACATGAAGTTCCCTTATGTTAAAGCACTGGAGACCATTTTGTTTCAAGTTTCAATCAAGTTAGTGCCAGGCATTTACATTTTAGGTAAAATGTGCTGATGTGAATGACTTCATTTTGTCCAATAGTTGGCCTGGGAAGTAGGCGTGTAGCTGTTTGGGAGAATAAGGGACCATGGAAAGAGGAGCCAGCCAGGCAGTGACAGTGTGCAGTCTGCCTGCTCCTGCCCCTCACTGTGAAAAGGAGCCAGATGAGCTGAGTGGCAGAGCTAATGCCTTTCGCCAAGTTGAGGGTTCTCTTATCCCCCACCTGATGCTGAATGTGTTGGGTCTTGCCTAGATAGAACTTTGAGGGTCCAGAGCCTCTTCTGTCTCATGGGCATAAGACGGAACATACTTGCTGTTGGTCAAAGACACTATGAGAAGCAGCATGATGTCTGGAAGGAGCCTCAACTCTAATATGATTCACATGTTCAAATCTGGTTTCACTTCTTACCATCTGTGTGACTTCAGTGAACTTACTTAAACACTCTACATCTCAGTTTTCTTATCTGTAAAACCAAGGTATTATGTCTTTCTGACAAGGTTGTCAGAAAGAAATAATCAATGCAGATCTGGAGCATTGGTGCCAGGCATCTAGGAGGTACCCAGGAAGTCTAAGTTAGCATGTAGTCTTTATGGTGTGCCTGCCTTTGCCCTGCCCTGTTTGCTGTGGTTCACAGAGGGGCAGGTGAGGGGATGAGTGAACCTCATTGACTCCACCATCAGAGAAAAAAAAACAAAGCATGATTTCTTCAGAGCGGGTCGGAAGCATTATTGTTATGCAAGATAGTAATTATGACTGTTCTGTGTTTAAAAAAAAAAAAAAAAAACACGACCAAAGAAGCTCATGGGTATACTAGAACAGTGTGCTGCCATATTCTCAAGGAAAGCCATTAGGCTCTTCTAACATTAAAATTTAAATGTATTTTAAGTCAATGTAAAGGTACAAGATCTCAGCTTTAACTCTTATATACACGGTGAGGTGGCCCTTTTCTATCATTTCTCAACCAGCTATAAATATACAGCAGTTCATTTCCCATCCCAACCTCTAGTTCGCTCCAGGAATTCCCTCCGCTGTGGCAGGACCAGGGTGATGGACAATGGCTTCCTGGTCCTCGTTGTTACCCCTCCTCATTTCTGGCAGGCTCCCCTTGCTCATCTTGCCAACCAGTGCCTAAACTCGTAATTCTCATCAATCTTCACCACAGTCCTGTGATAAAATAATGGAGCTGCCATGTTGTGTGAGAGGGTTTCTATTATCTTATGCTATTCTTCTTAGTACCTCCAACCCCATCAGAGTATTCTGAGGGTACTTCTGGGTTTCTTCAGGGGGTCTGAATGAAAGGAGAAATGCACTAGGATGTATGGAGTACCTTTTAGATCTTCTATTTGGTTCTCATTCCCAGTTGTAAGGGCTCGGGGGAGACCAGGAAGGTGAGAAATGCTGGTTTAAGAAATAAAGCCCCGGGAGAGATGATGACCTTAAGCTAATTCAGTCGGGTATGTCTCCATGACCATTAGCTTGGAACCTCTTCAGCCACTGGAGCCACTGCTGATCAAGGGGACTGGGACATTTATTAATGGAGATCTGTTCCATCTCAAGAAGGATGCAAGATAGAACATCTGGCCCTGTAAAAGCCATGTACATAGAGATTAGGCCCTGTGGAAATAATACTAGAATTCAGGAACATTCAGGACTAAGCATAAGTAAACACGGAGGTTGAGAAGCAAAATGTCTTGTTCAAAATGCCTTGGGCATAACCTTCATTTTTAAATTTCTATTTGTGTTCCTTGTCCAATGTTCCATCCATTTCTTAATGCTTTTCTTACTGATTTATTGCGATTATGAGTCATGTAAAACACTTGTAATTTGATGTAAATACTTCTTTATAGTTTTTTTAATCTTTTAATTAATGCAGTGGGTTTTGACAAATGCAGGCTTTAAACTTTTAAGCAATGACTTTTTTATATTTTCTCGTGACTTTTATATTTCTTTTTAGCTTAGACAATAAAAGATAGTACTATATATTCATCTATATCTTATTAGGAGAGGTTTTTTAAAACAAACAATTAACTCTTTATTTCATTTCAGTTTGATTTTAACATAGATTGTAAAGTGAAGATTTTCTTTTTTTCCCCCCAACTAAATGCCCTGCACTGAGAGCTTAACCATATTTGTGGTCATGTCCTACCTGACTTGGGTGCTATGAGGGTCATAAGAATGAGAAAAGCACATCCCTGCCCCAATGGAACCAAGCTTAGCAATAAAATGCCAGATTTGGGTGACTTCACAAGCCTGTGGCATCAGGAAAGGGTACAGACTGACCTCCAGCTATAGCACAAGGAGGAAGCACACTGCCCATCCTGGCCCAGTGCAAAGCTCAACTCAGATAGGACTTCCCATCCTTTTTCTTGGTTGACATTCAGCTACTAAGTTGGCAAGGAGAATAACTTGCCTGCCCACCTAATATGCCATTGGCCACAAGATAATTGTATTTCAATGCATAGCAGCCACATTAAACAATGGTTGAATTGTGCTTTCACTAATCAGCTATCTTATGTTGACATGTGCTACTTCTTAAGACCTAGAGTTAGTCTCTGAGATACTCTGAATTTACCTCAAGTTAGGGAAGGAGTTAGAGGTGAGGGTAGGAAGATGAGTGAGACAGTGTAGGAAAACTGACATTTTGAGGCAGTGCAACAAGTTATTGGAGGTGTCATGGTGTGTTCTTTGAAGGTCTTTTTGAGACCAGAAGGCCTGTATCTGTACAAATTTGTGGAGAGTCCTACCATTGAGGCAACAGGAAGATCTAGTTCCTCAAGCAAAAGTCACATGAAAAGGAAGCAGTCTGTCCAGAGACCCTGATTTGTTCCTGTTGAACACTGTCTCCATTTAAACTTTCCTTAAAAACAGCTGTCATTGAGCTGTGGAGAAACAACCATCATGGAGTAGAAAAGAGGCAGTGTTTGCTGTGGAGTCTTTTCTGAGCCGAGGAGTCACGCTCTGGAAAGTGATTCCCTCATCCCCAGAGCCAAATGACAAAGACATAAAATTATTTCATCATGTTATTTTATAAACTGTTTTGCATGCAAGTTTCTACATACCAGGAGTGCCTCGTGTTAATTGTTTTCCTTGAGTTGTATATGCTGGACATTTCCTAAGAGCAAAATTACATGAGAAAGTAGCAGGATGTTTGTGTCTTCGACAGCAATATGAAAGATACTTAAAGAGAGGCTATTAAAATTGCTTATTTATAAGGCTGTTCATAAACCAGGAAAAAGATACAAATCCACCAGCATGCCTCCATTCCAGAGATCATAGGAAATAAAATAAATTGAACTAAAGTTCATGGTCAATAGAACAGTGTGTGAGCTGTATAAATGAGTATTTGAGTTCCTTTAAAAATGTGTGAAAGGGCCCTGGCCGGTTTGGCTCAGTGGATGGAGCATCAGTCTGTGGACTGGGGGGTCCCATGTTCGATTCCGGTCAAGGGCATATGCCTGGGTTGCAGGCTCGGTCCCCAGTTGGGGGCGTGCAGGAGGCAGCCTGTCAATGATTCTCTCTCATCATTGATGTTTCTATTGCTCTCCCTCTCCCTTCCTCTCTGAAGTCAGTAAAGAAATACATCTTTTAAAAAATGTGTGAAAAGCTATTTGCAACTTTGATTTATAAGAATATAAGCTGCCCTAGCCAGTTTGGCTCAGTGGATAGAGCGTCAGTCTGCAGATTGAAGGGTCCCAGGTTTGAGTCTGGTGGGGGGCACATGCCTGGGTTGCAGGCTTGATCCACAGTGTGGGGCATGCGGGAGGCAGCAAATCAATGATTCTCTCTCATCATTGATGTTTCTATCTCTCCCTCTCCCTTCCTCTTTGAAATTAAAAAAAAAAGAGAGAGAATCATAAAGAATGCTTAAAAAAAAAGAATATAAGCTAATATGTCCTTGATGTGTGGTTTCTAGCTGACTGTGTATGGTTCAGTTATTCAGTATAAAGTTTTGTTAAATGTTTAGATTTCAGGATGGCTGGGCACTTTTTTGGATCACCCCTTATTTGTGCAAAGTCATTATTTTCTCTGCAAACACAGCAAAGTTCTATGTAATGGCCTGAAAACAAGAAAGGGAACATGGTCTGAGCTCAACTTCCATCAGTGCTATTGCAAGATTTTATGATTAGGTACCAGTCATTAAAAATTGATGTTTGTTCTTTCTTTTAGGAAAAACTATGTCTACCCCATCACATCCTTGAAGAGAAAGGCCTGGTCAAAGTGGGCATTACTGTTCAAGCATTGCTAGATGTGACTATAACGAAGGCTGTATTCACTTGAAACCAACTCCTGTCCTTTGGGTCGGCCCAAACCCTTCTCCCATCAGAGATCCTGAACTCTGCTCTCGGCACCAGTTCCCCCATCCTCCCACCCATTGCCTGTGTTCATGAGTCTAGTTGCATTTAAGGGAGGACCTAAGAGAAGATTTTCTACCTTTCAGAACTGACCTCCGAAATTAAGATGTGACAGGTATTTATCTTGAAGCCAGTGAGGGAGCTGGTTACGAAGAACTAACAGCACATCAATGCCTTTACAACCTCCTGCACCCCTTCCATGCTCACCCACTGCCATTACCAAAATACCAAGCACAACTATTTTGCAGCAACATGCACTTGTTTCACTAAAGCCAAACTCATTGTATATTTAGTGGGGGGATGAGGGGGGACTTGATCAAGTTTTTCATCACCAAATTTTTCAAGAAATTTCTTGAGACCATTGCCTTTTAAAAATCTATTTTCGACATACAAAATATTTATATAAATGTTATTTATTAGTGAGTTGTTATTCATCCTTTGGATGCAAATTGTAAATTAGGAAACTATTTTATTACTGCTTTTTTGTGGTTAAACACTTTTTAAATTATAAATATTGAGTTATTTTCTATCCTCTTTGGTGTGCATAGTTCTGGGTCTCAATAATCATGTTTTCTGGTATATATAACTCAGAAAAAAACAACAGGTGCTTCTGTGACAAGAGCTGTTTTCTGGGGAGGCATTACTTACACTTTGGTTTATAGAACATTGGTCTTGTTTATATTTCTGCATTCCATCCAGTTTCCTACATTCCAGCAGCCCTGTTGTCCCATGATACAATAAACTGACTGAAATCAAGAGAGCACCCCAAAGTTATTTGTAAATAGCTGTGATGAGGAAAAAGACATTAAACTTGAAGATAAAATGTGAACAGTTATTTTTTGAATTCATACATATTTTGCTATACACAAAACATTCACATTTTAACACAAAGAAGTAATGTGTTAGCATCATCTATCTTGAAGTATAATTTTGCACTGTAACTTGGGAATTAAAGAAGGCTAGCACCAAAGGAAATAAGGAAATGGCATAGGAAAGTGGAGATGATACTAAGTTTATTGTTTAACCAAAAAGTTTCTTAAAGGGCAGCTTTCAACTGAGAGTGATCAAGAGCTATGTCAGACACATAAGACCTGGATCAGGAAACCAGCACTTCCTACAACTGCCAGTTTTCAAAGAGAAAAGATTTTGAGATGTGGACATGCTCATTTTATTGTAATTTAGTTGGTGGCTTTCAGAGTAGCCCATAAAACACTGCAAGATTCATGGTTTCTGGAGTGAAACTATAAAAGTAAGTAAGTTGGTGAGTTAGCTGCATGCAAAAACGGGGTGTTGGGGGGGCGGGGGGCGCTAGGGGAAGGTTGCATTTGTGAGGCTGGGTGGCCTAGCAGGGAGCTAGTTCAAAGGAAACATGATTAAAAAGAGCCAGCAAAGGAAAGGTACCCGTGTTGGTCTGAGAGACTCACACAAGACTTCCCAGACACAACAGACCGTTGGTAGGCAGTTACATGAATGAGCCTTCACCCTGCTGTCCGGATATTCCAGTCAGTCACCTTTCACAGTCTTATGAATGCTCACTGCCTCTTTACCTCTGTGAAAAGCCATTGTAAGTTTTTAGAGCAGCAGCAGCCACAATTTGTAAGAGAAATAAAAGGTGAGCACAAAAGAAAAGACACCAGGAAGATGATGTGCACTGAGCACAACATCAGCCAAGGCCACGGCTGCCCTCTGCTCTGGGCAAGGTGAGAGATTACTGAACATGGTGGTTTGAATTTGCAGCTTTCAGTTCTTTTCTATTAAATGTACTGTGCACTTTAACCTAACTTAAAATATATTTTAATATTTTTCTGTACTGCACAAATACCTGTTGTCAAATAGCATAATGATATAAACAGAAAGTCATTTTGAACAAGGAGCATATTCAATATAAGCAACATTCAAAGGTTGGTTATAGAAATAGGAGTTTTGATTGCTGCACCTTAATGGGCATTCAGATACAGGGTCCTGAAATAATTTTTTATGTGTATATATGGCAACATGAAGCTCTGTAATCCTTGTTTTGAGAGTTTTTTTTTAAGATTAAAATTGTTCTTTTGATATTAATTTTAAGTATTTTCTTGAAGTTGTCTATATAATACAAATGGCTTCTATATTTTGTAAAATGGCTTTCTTTTAAATGCAGCTCTTGTGTAGCTAAAAATATCTTTAAGATAGTTGTACACTGTTTATATGTGCAATAAAATGTGCATGGCCAGCTAACAGTACCATCAGTGGACAGAATGTACGTAGTGCAAATCGCCTTCCTTTTCTTATTTAACGACCATTAAAACTTTGAATGTGGACAAACCATTTTCTGATTGACTTACCCATGTGATGCAAAGGTTGACACTGGTCACAAAAGAAATCTTAGGGGGTCATTGTTTAAAAAGTTTGTGACAATCCTCTAGTGCATATTTGTGTGTGCATGTGTGTGTGTGTTATTTCCAAACTAAATCTTACCTGGAACCACAGAACATACAACAGTTAAAATAGAGTTAATATGGTGGGATAGGGGTGTCCCTCCACCTATCACTTGGGTGGTGGCTCCAGAAGTTTCTCTGAGAAAGCCTGAAGGTTCTGTGGAATCTGACACTGAGAGAGTAAAGTGGCTCATGGCTGGTATGGCTCAGTTGGTTGGAGTGTCGTCCCATATGCCCAAAGGTGGTAGGTTCAATCCCCATTGGGGTATATACAAGAGACAACCGTTCAATCTATTATTTTACTCTTCTTCTTGTACCTTCTCTCTCTAAAAAAAAAAAAAAAAAAAAAAAAAATCAGTAAACATATCCTCAGGTGAGGATTTAATAAGAAAGAGAGAGAGCAAGTGGCTGTGTTGATTACACTTTCTGTAGATCTGGCCAGTGTTATTGTTTTCCCCCACAGCCAGCCTGCCTGTAATGGAAGAGCAGCTGCTTTAAAGAATTCAAGTCAAAATAATGACGGATTGTTTCTGTCTTCTTATCCCAACCCACATACAATAGACACAGGCCTTAGATCAACAGCCTGAGCAAGAACTGCAGTGACCAGTGTCAGGTCCTCTATGTTTAAGATTCATGTCCAGCTATGCCTAGCCCATGATGTTCTCATTGGAAATGCTGCTCTTATGCCAAACTCTGAAACCTCAGTCATCTTGGTCTTCTGCACATCAAAGAATTAGGGGCTTCACAAACACTTTTCATTGTAAGTTGGCTGGAGCAACTGAGGAGTGTGTGAGGGCAAAAAGAAAGATGGCAGCAGGAGCCCTCGGGAGAGCCTGGCAGGAACATGCTTGCAATAAGTTCATCTATGCAGTTCAGCCCTATGGCATTGGCCACAGCTGGGAACTGTCCCAGAGAGCAAGTTCTAGCCAACAGCTATATCTGGAGGCTTCCCAGTTCTTGCTGGGTTGGCCTGGGAGACCCAGGCAACACTGACCCAGTAGAGCTGGTTCTCTAATCTTGCATCTTCCTGGTCAGCTAGCAGAGATCAGGTCACATTGAGTCTGGTATTATCTTCAGAAATGGTACTGCTTGAGTATGGGGCATGTGTGTAAAGCAGGATTCTACCCTAAACCACTGTCTTTACTTCCCACACGCACATGCTGATGGGCCACCACAATGGCCAGTATTTTTGAGTGGCTAGTGTGGGTCAAGTGTTTTTTTCTGAATCATAAGCACCATTAAATCAAGGCTGCTTGTCTATTTTGTTCTCAGCTAATTCTGTTAGTAAAAACAGTGCTTATGCAGTAGGCTTTGAAGAGATGCCAGGTAGGAGAATTAATGAATTTTACATACATTATCTCAGAAAGTCTTACCAAAATGCTATATGGAAAGGATTTGTAGTAGACTATGGAGTTGCCCACCTAATACCACTTTCTTATAGGAAGTTAGCCTTGCCTTATAGATCATGAAGTTTTTATGGTTCTTACCTGACACTGCTTACCTATTGTTTATTGGTTCAGGAGCAGCCACCTTACTCACAATTGACTAATAAGTCTCTTCCCAAAATGCTGTTTCTGACTAATTAGATCAGGGAAAGACCCAAAGACTCCAGAGACCCACCTCTGCCTGCAGATTGACTGGATTCAGTCTTGAGTAGCCCCAAATGATCGTCCACAGGTGGGGTGAGAGGTTTCCAAACAGAGTGGCATGGCAATTGCTTCTGCCTGGAGGCTTATTGGTATCCTTAGTCTCTTAATGGGCCTCAGAAACTTCAGAGTGGGTCAACTGTCTTCCCCCAGGCAAAAACTTCCTGAATAGCAAAGGTCTGCCTGAGAAAGATTATCTCCACAGCATGAGGGAATGACTCAGCACAGGAAATTGGCATCTACCTTCTGAGCTCTAACCCCAGAGCCCCCAACCCTGACTTATGTTTACACAGCTCCAGTCCACTCTGCCCTCCATCTGCTGAATCCCAAGGTGAGTGGCTGCATTAAAAATTCTGTGCATTGGCCCTCTAAGAGGGTGTCTGCATTTCCAGCCGCCTCTCCCTGGAAGACAGTAACCCTGCTGCTTTTCACAACCAGATGTTATGTGAGCACCTTTCTCAGTTCTGGTGCTCTCTCCAGGGGGCCACGCTTGGGGTTAGACCCTGGAGTTCTCAGTATCAACCCCCCAGAGATGAGATCTCTCTCTCTGGAACTTCAGCTGCTGTCTGTGGGAAGCCCAGCCAACCCTTTTGTGCTTCTGCACTTCCTACCAGTCTCTATGCAGTCTCCACTTTCCATCCTTGGTTATCAGGGTTCTCTCCAGCTAGTCTTCAGTTAATTATTCAGGATAGTGTTTTGTATTTTAGTTGTAATTCCAGTTTGGTTCTGAGAGCATGTCTGTGTAGAATCCATTTACTCTGCTGCCATTTTCCCTTTTACGTTTAATGGTGGCTTTACTGTACTGTGTTGTGTTTAAAAGGATTTTATATCTATCATAACCCAGGAAATCTGTCAATTCCTTTGCCCCTTTTTGATTTTTTGAAGCACACAAAACTAACATTAAGAGGTCATTTTTAGGTTATTTATTGTTTACTATAAAGTCACTGAGCTGGTTCCTTATAAGTGTACTAGAGGCCCGATGCATGGAATTTGTTCAAGAATAGGCCTTCCTTCCCCCAGCTGCCAGCACCCCTTACCCAGGCTTCCCTCACAGCCCTGGCTTCATCCGGAAGGATGTCTGGTCTAATTAGAATATTACACTTTTATTATTATAGATGAATCTTTAAGATAAATTTTTTGGTGGGGGGAACATTTTACATTTAGGCATATATGAGGATTTATCCCTTTTCTGGCCAGTATTTGCAATACATAGCAGCTCAAATGTATTGGCTTCCTAAATATCTTCAATGGTCAATTCTTTGTTGTAACTGAAGGCCTTTTTCTTTATTACAGTTATCCTTGGCTATATGTCAGCAATTATTTACTGAATATTTAAATGTTTTTGTGTTTACCCTGCAACTATTTTCTTATAATGAGGTACCAAGTTGGCTATATTACAGTTCCCTGTTATTCAATCTAGATGTTGCTCTGAAGGGATTTTGCACATATAAAATCTCTAATCAACTGATTTCAAATAAGGAAAATTATCTGGTTGTCCTCACTTAGAAGGTCTTGAAAACAAGACTGAGGCTTCCTCAAGAGATAAGAAATTCTACCTATGGACAACAGCTGCAGCCCTTGCCCATGGAGTTCCATCCTGCTCATCACCTTCCCTTCCTGATGGTCTTCCTCATGGGTTTCAGACTTGTGTAGTCAGCCCCGAGAATCATGTAAGCAAATTCCTTGTAGAAAATCAACCTCTCTCTCCTCTCTCTCCTCTCTCTCTCTCTCTCCATATATATATATATATAATGTCTGCTACTAGCTATTCTTCTCTAAATTCTCAACAAATACAATGACCTTAGGACCACACAGCTCTTTTTCTTTACAAAGGAACTACCAACATGTAAAACATTTGTGATTTAATTAACCTTATTAGAGAAAACTAGACTGTGTAAACTAGAACAGTTTTGTATGTAGCTCACTACAGGGCTCAATTTCCACTACTGATATTTAAGTAGCACTAATTTTTAAAACAACCTAATTTATATTTAAAAAGTACTAATTTTGTAACTTTAAGAACCTGATGTCTTATTCCATTACCATGTAATACACATTCTTATTGAATGTTTAAAATATATACACTTTGAACAGAAAAATATATATTTTTTAAAACAACCAGACTTCATCTATCACGTTTCAAGTTTATCCATTAAGTTCTTAAAGGAACACAATCTGTTATTACAAAGAGACTGATTACTTTCCTTGGTGAACTCAACAAGCTAAATTTCTACAAGTAACTAAGAGAAAAATCTATGTTTACAGTAACACATGAAACTTATGTTTCCTTACTAGCTATTTTCAGATAATTCATATTAATTCTTATATTTGAGATACACCCAAAAACCAATATCCATAAATCTACTTGGCTCAAAAGTTAAGAAGTATCATTGGATTGGGTTTAGGAAATCTGGCTTCTAATCTTAGCTGTTCCACATATCTACACTAATAAAAGAGAAACATGCAAATTAACCATCACTCCACCACACCCACAAGCCACACCCACCAGCCAATCAGGAGCGAGTATGCAAATTAACCCAACTAAGATGGCAGCGTCCACAGAGCTGGAGCGAACAGGAGGCTTGGGTTGCCCCCAGCGACGGAGGAAGCCAAGCTTCCCACCTGCCCTGGCTGGCCCTGGGCTCTGCTCAAGGAGGGGCTGGGAGCCTGGGTTGCCAAGGGGAACCCAGGCTTCCAGTTGGACCTGAGCTCCGCTCAAGGCTACAAAGTTTCAATTGTAGAAGATACCTACTTCCAGCCCACCTTGGCTTCTGCTCAAGGAGGTGCTGGGGAATAAAATAAAATAAAGTAAAAAAGGAGAGGCTGGGAGCTTGGGTCGCCAGGGTATGTGGCTAGCCTGCAAACTGCCATCAGTCCCTCACCCAGGCTGGCCAGGAACCCCAATGGGGACCTCCACCCTGAAGGGGGTGTGGCCAGCCTGAAAACGGCCCTCAGCCCCTCTCCCAGGCTGGCCAGGCACCCCAGCGGGACCCCCCACCCTGATCTAGGACACCCTTCAGGGCAAACCAGCTGGCCCTCACCTGTGCACCAGGCCTCTATCCTATATAATAAAAGGGTAATATGCAAATTGACCCTAACAGCAGAATGACTGGTCACTATGACACACACTGACCACCAGGGGGCAGATGCTCAATGCAGGAGCTGCCCCCTGGTGGTCAGTGCACTCCCACAGGGGGAGCTCTGCTCAGCCACAAGCCAGGCTGACGGCTGCCAGCA